GGTGCCCCCCCCCACACACACAGGGTCTCTCTGTGTAGCTTTGATGCCTGTCCTGGATCTCGCTCTGTAGACCAGGCTGGCCTCGAACTCACAGAGGTCCAACTGGCTCTGCCTCCCGAGTAATGGGATTAAAGGTGGGTGCCACCACCACCAAATGACTCCTGTCTACAGTAGTGTCTATCACACAGCCATAGGCTGCATTCAGCCAAAGATGGCTATGAATGTGGCCAAACACAAAATTGTAAACTGACTTAAAATGTGAGATTGTGTGTGTGTGTGTGTGTGTGTGTGTGTGTGTGTGTGTGTGTTGTGTGTGGCATTTTTAATCTTGATTTTACAGTTCTCAAGCATGAACTTTGTAGATAATAACTTCATGTCACAGAGTCAAAATGTTGGACACACCCAGTACACCATGGAGATCCAGTCGTGGATGGATGCATTACCAGTCCATGCATGTGACAACCACTGCTCCCTGCCCTGTCACCCACCTCCAAAGTCCTCACAAGTCTGACCTTTGCTCTTTGGCTTTTCCATTGCCCTTGAGGCAAAACCCATGGCTATTCACCCACGCCATTCTGAGCAAACAGGAAAAGCTATGGAGGGTCAAGGCTCTTCTCATTGACCAGACAACTATTTCTTTTTAAAAAAAAAAAAACTGTTTTTATTACATTCCTTTATTGGTGTGGGGACATGCCATAGTGTGCACATAGAGGTCGGAGGACAATTTGTGTGTATGTGTGGAGGGGGGGGTCAGTTTCCTCCTTTAACCATGTTGGTCCCAGGGACCGAACTCTGAATGCCAAGCTTGGTTACAAGAGCCATTACCTGCTAAGTCATTTCTCTGGCCTGTCACAAGTGTTTCTTCTTCATTTGTCACATGGTGAAGGGACCTCTGAAGAGTGGGCCAACAAACAAAACATGTAATGTGACATGCAGCGAGTCTCGGTTTTCACAGCCTGCCTGGAAGTTCACCACTCCTCCTCCCCACCCACCCCCCGTTCGTGGGAATAGTTCTCTCCATTCCAGCCTGGGATGATGTCAGCTGCATGCAGCCATGGAACAAGAGCTTGAACAGTAAGGACCTCGCATCTCACAGGAGGAATGCAAAGGTAGTGGTCCTGTAGCTGATTTAGCAATGTCAGTGAGGGCTCAGAGTCTCACTATCTTCCTACGCTGCCAGCTTCGGTCATCAGTTCTGTCTTCGTGGTCACAGTGAGGCTACACATGCTAACATTCTAAAAGCAGGCAGCTTGAGGGGTTTCTTCTCATCTTTCTTTCCTTTTTCTTTTCTTTCTTTCTTTCTTTCTTCCTTCCTTTCTTCCTTCCTTTCTTTCTTTCTTTCTTTCTTTCTTTCTTTCTTTCTTTCTTTCTTTCTTTCTTTCTTTCTTTCTTTCTTTAATTAAAGACAAGGTCTTGATGTATAGCCCCTGACTGGGCTGGAACTCACTATATAGACCAGGCTGGCCTCAAACTCAGAGATCCTCCTGCCTCTGCTTTCCAAGTACTGGGATTAAAGGCATACGCCATCATGCCTGGTTCAGCCTCTTTCTATTAGGAGTGAAAATCATTTCAGCTGTGACAGAGGCTGGAAAGATAAGTGTCTGTTATTTTCAGCTTCTGTTGCATTCGGTGGATTCTGCCATATGGAGAGAAACAGCAAGGAGGAAGCAGGTAGGGGATGCCATTGTCCTCTCATGCCCGCAATGGGACCTCAGCTCACTGATCTCCTGTATGATGAAGGCCATCTCTCTGAGGATCAGGAAGTCCCTCTCCTAAGTGGCTGGAAACAGACCCTTCAACATCCTGCATTCTTGCTAATCTGTGACTTGCATTTGCCCTCAGCTTTTGAGATTAAAATCAGCACTTGGGCTCTTTGTCTCTTTACAAGACTTAGGACTGGGGACTGGAGAGATGTCTCCACAGCCAAGAGTAATTGTTGCTCTTCTAGAGGACCTGAGTTCAGGTCCCAGAACCTACATAGTGACTCACAACCATCTGTTCCAGAGGACCTGATACCTTCTGATGCACATATAAATGTGCAGGGGAAAAAGTCATATTCAGATGAAATAAAATCAATATCTAAAAAATATTTAAAAAAAAAAAACCAAGACTACAAATGCCAAAGTCTAGCTAGAGATAGGGACCTACCTGGTAAATGAAATCACACAAGAATGAACACTGTAGTCGATGCTGAGCTTGGATCGTAGAGTGCTCACAAAGGGAGGAGGGGGTGGATGGAGTGGGAAGATCCAAATTCAAGAAAGCTAGGAGTGGGTGTTAGATGAAGAGGGCTGGTATGACGAACGTTGGAGAACTTCCGCCCTGGAGAGAGAGGAGAGAGGGAGAGAGAGACAAAGAAAGAGGAAAGAGGAGAGAAACAGAGAGACAGGGGCAGAGAGACAGACAGAAACAGAGAAGAGAGCAGAGAGATAGAAAAAGAGACAGAGAGAGACGAGGAGAGAGGAGAGAAACAGAGAGAGAGAGAGAGAGAGAGAGAGAGAGAGAGAGAGAGAGAGAGAGAGAGAGAGAGAGAAGAAACAGAGCAGAGAGAGACAGAGACAAAGAATATGGCCAAGGAGCAAAGTAAAGAGGAATATAATTAAAGGGTGGGGCAAGACCTAGCCCCCAAGGACACTCTCTCTGACCTACTTCCTTCAATGAGGCTCCAACACCCCAATTCCCACAGCCTCCAAATGTCATCATTTATGAATCCATGAAGTGATTAATGCACTCATTAAGTCAAAGCCCTTGTGCCATAATCATCTCTTGAAATGCTTTCCGATACATCCAGATCTGCACCCACACCAGTCCCCTCAAGCATTTCTCCATCCAATCAGCTTGAAAAGATGAACCTCGAGGAAAACTGAGCACACAGAGAAGACGTGAAAGGATTTGAACCTGGTTATGTTGGGACGAGGAGACAGAAGGAAAGGATAAATAGGGAACTAGAGCCAAGGAGCCGAGGAGGCAAGGCAGCTGTTTGGGAGTAACAGAAGCCCATGGCTAGTGAGTCTCAGGGGC